TGAACTTAAAAAAAACCACACATGGACATACAACACAGACCAAACGCTATATTTAGAGGAAGATTAAAGCGACAAGACGGCATATAAGTATTCAAACAGCGGTCAAACACAAGCAACTCAGCTGATGTGGACTGACCCAGAGAAGCCACAATACGAAAAATAAAAATACCAGACTCAGACGTGAAGGAAGGGACACCAGAATAAACAGGCAGAGGCACAGAGGCACCGAACATTGCATAAGAAGCTAAATTTAGGAAAGACATTTGGTGCAAGAAAAACCGTCACAGTTAAAACACAAGCTCCATTTCTGAAGGCAAATGAACTTGGCCAGATGTTGTTTTCCACCCAAAACAGATCAGATCATAGAATAAAATGAAGAAGATATAAAAAAATGTGTTACTTTGCCCTGATCCCCTGCTCATCTTGTCGTCCCTTATCCCTACATTTAAATAATTAATTTTATTGTTTACAAGGACATTTCCTGTTTCTGCATCTTGTAGCGATGACATCACAAACAAATATAACAATTAATCTTTTCAGCAATATTTTGCTCATTAAAAACGAAGCTGTCTGAAAGTAACTTGTCAGAAGAAAATATATCGTTTTTCAATTGATGGAGGCCGTGGAGCGAGCGATGAACTCCCGATAAGGAAGTACAAATGAGAACAATGTAGCAGGACTCAACATATTTACTCTACCATGGTCATGCTAATTTTCAGTTCTCTAGAATTGTGAACTTTGGAATATCGATGTTACCCTGGCAACGGATACAGATACACGTCTGCTAGAGACCATAACGCTACGGGTCCGGGGGCGCTGATGCAACAAACGCCCCCCTCCCTTTTCCACCCCATACACTCACAATTTACTACGCTTTGTTTCTTCTTCTTCTTCTCTACTTCTTCTTCTTCTTCTTCTTCTTCTTCTTCTTCTTCTTCTTCTTCTTCTTCTTCTTCTTCTTCTTCTTCTTCTTCTTCTTCTTCTTCTTCTTCTTCTTCTTTCTTCTTTAGTCCTGTTCTGCATTTTAGTCTCGAGTTTTGAAGATTTGTTTCATTGGGTGTGAGCTTTGCTGTGTGCTGTGCAGATACAAGTATTTAAGGTCGATCGCTTGGATAGTCGACCACAAGCTCTGCTTCCATTGTATATCTATGTCCGTCTTAATAATAATAATGCAGTAATAAAAATAGCAACAATAAACAGTAATAATAACAATGCACAAATGGCGAACATAAAATATTTTTAAAATACAATACGTCACACACTTAAAAAAGAGAGCTTGCTCCGGAACAAGACTAATTCAGAAGTGGACGAACAACCAGAAATGTCCACCAGAGTTTACAGCCGGTGAACGTGAAGAACAAGAAGATGTGTTTTTAAAAAAGAAAAAAAGAAAAAAAATACCGCGGTACCATTTATTGATTCATCAGTATCATCATCACTATCTTATTTTTTCTGCTGCTGTCTTTGTTTTTGTGTCCCTCCCCCCCCCCCCCCTTTTTCCCTTTCTCTCAAATTTTTTCAGTATTTATTTACCTTATATGTACCAGTCGTGTCGGCGTCTGTAGCTTGAACGTTGCGAACGCGATTCGTAAGGCCAGGGTGCCGGGTTCGATTCCAGCTGCGGGCAATTTGACAGCAGACCGGTTCGCGGTGGTTTCAACAGTGGTACTGAGAGCTGACCGTTCATAGGTAACGGCAAACTACTGAACGTAAATTTGCCTGGGGGGAGGGGGGGGAGAAAAAAAAAACCACAAGAGCAAAAATTAATTGCTGGGGTTGGCTCTGCAACGTCCTGAAAATGACACAAAGTAATCCTGTATCTAGTCGTGCAAGGAAGAACACTATTTCCAGTTAGGTGATGTCCACTTTTAATATGTGTAAATTTGTATGGGGAAAAATGTGTGTGCGCGCACACACACACATACATACAGAAGAGGGGGAGGGGGGTGTAGAGGAGAGTAAAAAACATAAGGCAGCTAACTGGCCGAGACTGACAAGTTTCCCATGAAAATTGGTTTGAAAGGAAATCTGTCTCTATTCCATGGTTGTGGAATTTCAGGCTATACGATTGGCATGACTGATGAAGAGATATTTTTAGGGGTGTCTGGTTGACCATGAGTCAAGTACACTTGTTTCCACAGCAAGGCGCAACCGCCAATTGGAGGTGACATGTTCGAGTGCCGGCATGGTAACTATAGCTTTCGATTTTTAGGTTGTTGGGTGTGTTTCTCCTTCTATTTCTATCTTTGCCGATCTCTCTCTCTCTCTCGCTCTCTCTCTCTCTCTCTCTCTCTATATATATATATATATATATATATATATATATATATATATATATATATATATATATATATATATATATATATATATATATATATATATAAAGATATAATTTTTTTTTCAAGTATTCAGAAGCCATGAGTTGTTAACCCTTAGGCTCGGTACTATGGTTATCGCAACCCTTCGGCCTTGATTCCATGATAAATACCGTAAATCTGGG